ACATCCTCGCTCGAAAGTAGTCTTAGGACATCTCCGATATCTACATAAAAATCGGAGTAATAAAGAATTCATGGAACCTCGTCGTTTATGGGCGAACATTCTGATATAACGTTCGAAAATTAAAATGCAATTGAATGATAATTATCACGTGAAACGAATGTATAACAATAATTATAAAACACAATCAAAACATATTGTAATTATACAGGGTGTTTCGTAACTTGTGGCACCCATTTCGGGAACTGATTGTACGCCTAAAAATAGTGAAAAAAAAAAATCATATAAATATATATGTCCTATCTGTCTTCGTTTATAAGATAAAATGAATTTTCTGTTTTAATTACTTTTACAAAAGATGCTCGAAACGACCACCTTGCATTTGAAGACAAGCCTGCACGCGTCTTGTCATTCATCTGGTTACTCTCTCTATCATTCCTGGTGTTTCTCGAATTTGTCGGAAGCCTTGCTCTATTCTATTCCGTAGTATTTCAGCATGTTCAATCGACGTTGCGTATACAATAGATTTTAAATGTCCCGACAAATGAAAATCTAATGGATTGAAATCCGGAGAACGAGCAGGCCGTGCAATAGCACCTCCACGACCAATCCATTTATTTGCAAAGTGTTGATTGAAAAATTGCCTAGCCGCTCGGCTAAAATGCGGNGATGTCTTGAATGCACAATAACATGTGGGTTTTCTTCATCCCAATTATGATTATTATGAAAATTGAATGTACCATCCCTGGTAAAACTAGCTCACTAGAGTTTCCTCTGTTTATGAAATTCATTATATCTCATAAACGAAGACGGACAGGACATATATTTGTATGACTTTTTTTCATTATTCTTAGGCGTACAATCAGCTGCCGAAGTGGGTCCCACACCCTGTTATATTAATATCTAATTAATAACATTACAACGTCAACGATGTATTAACACATAATTACGAAGCAGATATTACATACACAATTGTGAATATTAAACGCATCGATAATAATTGCAAAATAGGATCGAAATATTCGAGAAATAGATTGCAGAGTATATTCGACACGCGGTACGAAAAAATAAAAAGTGCCATGAGAACTTTCGAGAGGGGGGGGAGGATGTTATACGTAATCCTCGGTCTGCTAGAGTTGCGTGACACCTGGAAAGCTAAAAATTCGTGGCTACCCCCATGGCGATCGTTAATCGAGAGCAAAGGTATCAGCTGAAAAAACAAAAAAAAAAAAAAACAAAAAAAAAATAAGATCTCAGATGAAGAGTATAGAAGACGGATATCGCGTGGGTGATGATACTGTGCTGGGTGTTTTCACGAAACCTCTCTCGGTTTCCGGCACCGGTTGAAGCGTTACCAACGCGACCACCGGCCGACAACAATAATTCGTTTCCGTCGAAACTGCCGAAACAGGCGTTAATCATGCCCCTGGCTGAGGGGAGGGGGGAGGGATCAACTGAAAAAAGGCGGGTTAAACGTTCCTGGAAACTACGACGAGGGAATCGATCGGCAAAACCGGGACCGGGACCGTTGAACTTCCTTTCGCGATCGAACTGTGTAGAGACTCGGTTCAGAAATCAGAGCTGTCTGAGCGAGTGATGCGAATCTTCATTAATTAATTAATTAAACGAATCGTCGTTGATGCATTGAAATATTGATATTTTTCCATCGACGAGCTGAATTTCCGTCGTTCGAGTTCCGAGTCGTTTTTCAAAAACGAGCGAGTGGGGGAGAAATAAAATTCTGGAACAACGGTAACAGTTCGATGATCGACCAATGAAGAAAATTTGAAATTTGAATCGTTTGAATTTTAAACGAGATATAAAAGTTTTCAAGTTTGGTTTCTTTTTTTTTTTTTTGGTAATTTTTGAACGGTATATTAATTACATATTTTTATAATAAATTTTTATAATAAATTATTAATGTGCAATATTAGTATCGAGATTCTTGAGTATCGAAAGTCAGAACATTTACGTGGCCAGAATTTTTAGTATTTAAACTGTCGAGCACGAGAATTTTGGGATTTTCGAGTTCGTTATTCGAGCGTTCAATATTTTTGAATATTGACAAGTTAGGCTTTTTCTTGGCACTCTCGGCACCTTTGCTTTTGATTACTTTGAATTCTAATAACTAATAATTTGTCCACATTTGAATTGTCGAACGCTAGAATTTTTTTAAACTAATTTGTTCTGTTAAATTGAAATTTTTTAAAACTACAACCAAGCAGTTACTTTTCATCTTATGTATGCTACTCTGACAGCTCTAATCCCGAAAGATTTAGGTTAGGTTTGTGGACTTGGATTAGGTGAGTTCGATTCAAAAACATTCATTACGGCAGAAATACTCGATAAAACAAGAGTAATTTAACACTAAACGTACTTTATACAAGATGGATAGATCACTTTCTATTAAAAAAAAAAAAAAAGCATAAATTTTCAAACGATCTGGCGGTCAGTATTTGAAAGAAATGAATCTTTAAAACATGATGAAAAAATCATATTCGAACTTTAATTAAAAATTAATAAAGTTAGTTTTTTCTTATATTTTGAAAAAGAAAAAGACAAAATGAGTGGGAAGAAACTTTTGATCCGCCCTATATATACCGAGAAGAATTCCACGAGTCAATTTGTCAATTTAATACAGAAAATGAACGAAATAAAATACAGAAAGATCAGATAACAAAAAAAAAAAATTAAATTTTATATCTTCTTTTCCTTTTAACAAAAAAAGTTAAACGAAAAGGAACGCAGAATTTTAAGTCAAATTTTTAAGTCGGTCATTTGATCTTTTATCAAAATTGGTACGTTTAGTGTTAAAGACGGGCATAAATTACGCAGAGAATTTAAAATCGAACATCTCCTTTACGTTTACAGGAACACGGATAACGGGAAGTTTCGTTGGTATATCGTTGATCGATCGTTTTATCGCTCTGTCCAGAAGTGATTTACTCCCCAATAACGTGCAATTAAACGCTGAAATTAAGTTGAAACATCATTTTCGCCGGAGGATGCACGCTGTTGTTCCGCCGACAGATGTTGCTTCTGTTTCAGATGTAACGCAATCGCGTCAAACAAATGTTGTTTTTCACCTCTTCATTGTTGTTGCAGCGAAATCAATTGCCGTTCCATATTTGTTTCATTATTGTTCATTCTCGTTGTGTATAATTTGCGAGATTTATCAGACCACTCGTGGAAATTCAACGTTAACCGAGCTATTAAATTCGACTTGCGTTGTAACATATAAATGACAATCTGAACAATTCACGTGACGTTTCAACGTTGCACAAAATGACACTTCAATTTGAGTCTTGATAATATAATTTTAAAAGGAAAACAGAAAAGAGGAATGTTTCGAGGAGAAGAATTTATCAACGTACGTTTCGAAATGCACGAAAGACAGAAATCATGTTGTTACATTGTTTTTGTACTGTGTTGTGAGATGCAATCCAGAAGTTAACTACGTTATCGTAGATAATTATTTGTTTTTTATTATTATTATTATTATTGCAAATTATTAGACAATTGAAATAATATTTATTACCATCGTTGAACTTGATTTTTTCTTTTTCTTTTTTTAAGAATATGATAAAAAGACATTCGGTGTTACTTATAAAATTCGATCTCTTTCTAAAAACACAATACGTCCATAAACGAAATACATATATGTTAATAACATTATAAAATTATATATATATAATATAATAATAATATAATTATACATATAAGTAATATTATAAAATTATATATATAATATAATAATAATATAATTATACATATAAGTAATATTATAAAATTATATATATAATATAATAATAATATAATTATACATATAAGTAATATTATAAAATTATATATATAATATAATAATAATATAATTATACATATATATAAGTAATATTATAAAATTATATATATATAATATAATAATAATATAATTATATATATTAATAATATTAACAAAATAACATTAATATATATAAATATATAATCTTTTAGATTATCAGCTCGAACATAAAAATTATGATCTAAATAATTGTCTCGAGAAACTGAAACGTCTAAATATTATAAGTAACCCCAGTTACTAATTTTTTCAAGAAAAAAATTATTCGATTCAGCAGATGAGAAAAATTGAGGAAACAGAGATAATTGAAAAGTGTATCTATGTATCTAAAGAAATTATAACTTCTCACGTGTGATGCATTTATGATGCAAGTCGTCCGATTGCCCGATCATTTTCGACAGAATTATACCTCGACGTGCATTTTCTTCACTCGTGTCTCGATATTAACCAATACACTCGTGACAATCGTGTCACGTTTTACATCATACAAAATTACTAGCAGACAATATTCTTAAATAATTTTAATATTAAACTCCAACATGAGTTTGTTCTGCCTTTACTTATCCGTTGCGGATACAGTAACGTACAAAAATCGAGCAGATTTAGTAAGTGCACAAGTTGTTTAAATTGTCATTTATATGTTTCGATTCGATACGTAAATTTATAACGTTTAACCTCTTGCGCCCTTGTAACCGGTTCGCGGACCATAACGAGTGGACCAAATCGTATACAACAATTCGTTCTCTTTTTTTGAAGATTCATCGGTATGTATCACCGAATAGAAATTACCAAGAAGTAATCAATTTATTATTTGTTTTGTCTGGGTTATGTTTCAACTTTACTTAAAACTGAGAAAATATTGCGAAATTTTGGGCCAAGTATTCTCGACGTGCGTGGCACGCACGTCATTTCAGCGCAAGAGGCTAAGAAATTCAAGTTTCAGTCGTCGAGATTTTTCGATCGACGAGCTGAAAAAAAGTTTTCTGCTGAAACCAACGATTTTCGAAATCGTCGGTGCCGGCAAATACGATGAAAAAACAGATGCGGTCGTACGGAAAGAAATGAGAGGCTTGGTCGAGTGAAAACGACGAATCGACGATCAAAGAGACTTTGGTCAATGAGGAATTACTGTCGCGGCTAAATGCGCATGCAGATAATACATTACCTCCAGGCATACGTTTTCATGTCGTTCTCCAAGCTGGTGCTGGCGAAACAGTAGCCATCGGTTTCGCACGTGTGATTAGTTTCCTGGCAAATGTCGCAATAACACTTCAACAGTCCTGAAAAATAGAGAGAAGGGAGGAAGTTTTACTGTTCATTCTACTGTCAAGCAGGTTCGAATATCATTTTTTTTTTTTTTTTATTTTTTATTTAGGCACGTGATGATATTCGGACATTCAACACTGAAACAACTGGCCTTCGATCATTGTAATTCAAATTATAATAATTAAAATAAATATATTAAAATATAATAAAATATAATAAAAAATAAATAATTAAAATATAATAAAATATAATAAAATATAAATAATTAAAATACAATGAAATATATTAAAAAATATTTAAAATAATTAAAATATAAATAAATAATATAATAAATTAAAATATGAAATATATTAAAAAATATTTAAAATAATTTAAAATATAAATAATAAATACTAAAATATAATACTAAAATATTATAAATAATTAAAATATAATAAAATATAAATAATAAATACTAAAATATAATTAAAATAAATTGATTTACGAATATTTTAGTTTCTGTCGAAACAGAAATCAATAGTAATTTTAAATGTATCGAAACTACAATTTCATAAGAAGCAGTCGTTGATAGATAATTAATTAACGCAATGAACACGAACTCGAAACGTTAATAGATAATAATTGTAGAGGTTAAATATAAATAATATTTATTAAATAAAAATGCTAGTTAATCGTTAATAGATAATAATCGTAGAGGTTAAATATAAATAATATTTATTAAATGAAAACGCTAGTGATTAAACAAGATAGTGAACTAATACGCGCAAATAAATTCTTTTTTTAACAACTCAGTCGACTCTTTTTCACAAATCGACGCTTTTCTCGACGACTCGGATCGACTCTGTTTTTCAACTCGCGCGGCTCTTTTCTTTTTTCCAAAAAGAATAAATTCATACTTTCGTTCTTTTTCACGCATTTCTTCGCAACTACAGGTTGTAACAACGATTTAAAATAATGACCTACACGATACTACAATAATATACACGATAAATTTGAACTCGAAATTTGAAAGTTTAGAGCCACGAACATCAAGACGTACTCCTTCAGCTATTCTCATAAATCTTGAACATCTCGGTTATACTTCAAATTATTATTACTTCGTGATTTTTTAAATAGAAACTGAGAACGTCACAGCTTTTTTTTTCTTTGCGTTAATATGAGACGATATTCAAATCAGTAATCAGAAATCGGCAATTACGAACGATTAGAACGAGAAACCGAGAGAAGAATAATTAACGACAGTGCGAACGTTCCATGAATATAACGCAAAATTCGAGTCTGAAGACGTTTACGCCACTGCTTGAACCATTTAAAGCAATATGTATTTCTCGTAATAAGTTCAGCAAGCTAAAAAAAAAAAAAAAAGAGTCATCTCCGGTGCACCGCGATATACTAAGAAAAATTATGCTAGCATTATTTCTTCGGTAATTTATTACGTGCTTGATGACGCACGCCAACTTCGATCGTATATTTCTCTTTGTTTTTTCTTTCTTTTTTCTCACTCGAACCTGGCCAAATGTACCTCGAGGCACGAAACAAATCAACGATTGCCGATGCGTCAGAGTTCACTTTTTTTTTTTCGAAACTTTGTGTACTTCGTGTATTTTACTCGGATGGCGGTGACGTAATTGTTCGGGTATAGACAGTTTTTGGTTTTTTTATTTTTTTATTTTTGGTTCTTAGTTTTTTCATTTTCTTTTTTTTATTTCTGGTTCTTAGTTTTTTTGTTTTTCATTTTTTTGTTTTTAACTTCTAGTTCTTTTCGTTCTCCAGTTTTTGAATTTCTTCAGTTTTTAATTTTCAACTTTTTAGCTTTTAGTTCCCTTCAGTTTTTCAATTTTTAATTTTTGGTTTTTTAAATTAAAATTTCACGTCAAAGGAGGCAACTACGCTTTTGAGTAATTTCAGCAAATCGACAAAAGAGCAACGAAAAATTAGATATCTACAGTCTCAAAACGTTCTAAATTTACGGTCGATTGATACTCGTGTCGATAACTTTTCAAAAAAGATTTCCTCACGTTTCCTCTTTTTTTTTTTTCTTTTAAGCACGTAAAATCAAATTAGAACTGTATAAAAAGTGGAGATGTTTCCTTCCTGTCGTAAATTTTTCGATTATTGGCTTTAAATTATCGGAAATTACGACCAAACATAAACTTACAACCTAATGTTGTACAGCATTGCACGAGCTAACAACAATGCTTGTAAATATCTTCGAGCCGATAACTCGAAAAGTAGAAATATTATGAAAGAGAAATCCAACATTTGGAAATTTGTTTGGCAGCTACGTAGAGAAATATAGTATTGGATCTGTCCTGACTACTCAGCATGTGTGTATGAGGATATAATTATTCACTGTCCGAGAGTTAATTAACGTGCACGTTACAATTTCATTTCAGAGAATATAAATTGATATCTCACAACAAATAATCAATCACTGTTGGTCTACAGTACTCGACCTGCGTGTTTCTGGCTTTTGTTTTTCGTAGAAATTCGATAAATTCACAACAGCGTATTATTAAAAATTTGAAGCTCTTTGCTTATTTTCAGCTTTATTGTGAAAATCGTGCTCCAAAAAAATGGCCAAGACTTTAGAAACAGAGTTCCGAGCTTTAAAATTAGACCAAGTCTCTTTGCGACTTTTTTTCTCACAAAAATTACAATAGTAATTTATTTAAATATTTGATATTAGTTGTTAATATTAGTAATCGAGCTCCAAAAAAATGGCCAAGGCTCTAGAAACAGAATTCCGAGCTTCAAACTTAGACCAATTCTCTTTGCGATCTTTTTCCTCGCAAAATTACAACAGTAATTTATTTAAACATTAAATTAGTAATCGAGCTTTGAAGCTCCAAAAAAATGGCCAAAACTTTAGAAACAGAGTTTTGAGTTTCGAAATGAAGCTCATTGTCAGATTTTTTTCTCGTAAAATTACAACAGTAACTTATTTAATTTAAGTATTAAATATTTAATATCAGTTATTAGTAATCGAGGTCCAAAAAAATAGCCAAGACTCTAGAAACAGAGGTGCGAGCTTCAAAATTAGACCAAGTCTCTTTGCGATCTTTTTCCTCGCAAAATTACAACAGTAATTTATTTAAATATAAAATTAGTAATTTATTTAAATATTAAATTAGTAATCGAGCTCTGAAGCTCAAAAAAAATGGCCAAGGCTCTAGAACCAGAGTTCTGAGCTTCGAAGTGAAGACTTTTTCTCGCAAAATTACAACAGTAATTTACTTAATATTAGTAATTAGTAATCAAGGTCCGAGGCTCCAAAAAAATGGCCAAAGCTCTAGAAACAGAGTTCCGAACTTCAAAATTAGACCAAATCTCTTTGCGATCATTTTTCTCGCAAAATTACAACAATAATTTACTTAATATTAGTAATTAGTAATCAAGGTCCGAGGCTCCAAAAAAATGGCCAAAGCTCTAGAAACAGATTTCCGAACTTCAAAATTAGACCAAATCTCTTTGCGATCATTTTTCTCGCAAAATTACAACAATAATTTACTTAATATTAGTAATTAGTAATCAAGGTCCGAGGCTCCAAAAAAATGGCCAAAGCTCTAGAAACAGATTTCCGAACTTCAAAATTAGACCAAATCTCTTTGCGATCATTTTTCTCGCAAAATTACAACAATAATTTACTTAATATTAGTAATTAGTAATCAAGGTCCGAGGCTCCAAAAAAATGGCCAAAGCTCTAGAAACAGATTTCCGAACTTCAAAATTAGACCAAATCTCTTTGCGATCATTTTTCTCGCAAAATTACAACAATAATTTACTTAATATTAGTAATTAGTAATCAAGGTCCGAGGCTCCAAAAAAATGGCCAAAGCTCTAGAAACAGAGTTCCGAACTTCAAAATTAGACCAAATCTCTTTGCGATCATTTTTCTCGCAAAATTACAACAATAATTTACTTAATATTAGTAATTAGTAATCAAGGTCCGAGGCTCCAAAAAAATGGCCAAAGCTCTAGAAACAGAGTTCCGAACTTCAAAATTAGACCAAATCTCTTTGCGATCATTTTTCTCGCAAAATTACAACAATAATTTACTTAATATTAGTAATTAGTAATCAAGGTCCGAGGCTCCAAAAAAATGGCCAAAGCTCTAGAAACAGAGTTCCGAACTTCAAAATTAGACCAAATCTCTTTGTGATCATTTTTCTCGCAAAATTACAACAGTAATCTATTTAAATACTAAATAATATCAGTTATTAGCAATCGAGGTCCAAAAAAATGGCCAAGGCTCTAGAAACAGAAATGCGAGCTTCAAAATTAGACCAAGTCTCTTTGCGATCTTTTTCCTCGCGAAGTTACAACAGTAAAAATGTTAAATACTTAATATCAGCTAATTAATAAATGTTAAATATTTAACATCACTTAATTAATAAATGTTAAATATTTAATATCAATTAATAAATGTTAAATATTTAATATCAGTTAATTGACAAATGTTAAATATTTAACGTCACTTAATTCATTTAATATCAACAAGTTTAAACATTAACGGGGAGAGGAAGGGGGTAAAAGGAAAAAGAAATACCACGATCGAAGCCACGGAGAACGAGGGCACGAGACGAAGACGAGGGAGGAATCGGGAAGAGCCGGCTGCTCGATTCGCGGAAATAACAATTTCGTGCGTAATGTGTGTTTCTCTCTTTGTCGGTGCGGTGTTTCGAGGAGAGGTGGTGGTGGTGGTGGTGATGGTGGTGGCGGTGGTACGACTTGACGAAACGAGTTTAATTCAAGTCATTAACGCACGCCCACATGGAAATGGCCTCGCGGACACGCCACCGGCCCCCCCGTAGCCCCCTCGATACGAAACCCGAGGAGAAATACCTGTATGGGATTCGCCGCATGCCCAGCCCCATAAAGCGCGTTTCTTTCTTTTTTTTTTCTTCTTTTTTTTTTTTTTTTTTTGCGCGCGCGCGCCCACGGGGCCCTTCCTGCGGCCAGACGGATTCGCGCGGAAACCCACCTCTGCAAAATTCGAACAACGCGCGCGCCG